AATTTATTATCTATTTGTTAAATTTATTCATTAAATGTATATGCCTTATATATACCATGTATTAAATATTTTGAAATGTACCGGTATATACAACGTTCTTGCTTGCATATTGCACCATAAAGCTATAGGTAGCAATGTCCATCAGCAAGAATGTTGTAAAGCACAGCTCAGTCTCCTAATAACAGATGGCTTGTGGGAATATAATTCTTCCCAGGCTCAGAGATGACGTATTTTTACAAAAAGAGTAAAACACGGTGCTCAAAATAAACCCTACACTCAAATAAGCATTTGCTAGAGTATTATAATCCATACATATCAGAACTAGGGCAAATACACAGTTAAGAAAATAGCTTCGTTGTTTACCATTAGGACTGGGTGATCAAAGATGTTTAAATGGCATGGCCCACCTGAAGCATTTAAATAGCAAAGGCCCTCTGAAAAGTGCAATGTATTGCTTTTCCCAGTTGTGGAATTTTTGTTGAAATTTATATAGGTTTAGGGATTCTTTCTCATACCTTCCTAATAATATGAGAGCTGCTTTTCTGTGGAGTTATATTTCCACAGTCAGTACTGTGATCCAAAAAATGATTGTATCTACTGGACTTTCTAACTGAATGTTAACTGACTGGGAAAGATGACAGTAGAGGCAATCCTCAACTTACAAGCACAATTGGGAGCAGAATTTCTGTTGTTAAGCAAATCATTGGGGTTGCGCCCAATTTTATGACCTTTTATCCCCACAATTAAATGAATTACTGCCACTGTTAAGTGAATCACACAGTCATTAAATGAACCCGGGGGTTCCCCCATTGACCTTAGTTGTTAGAAGCTAGCTGGGAAGGTTTTAAATGGAGATCACAGGGCCCCAGGACCCTCCAACTGTCACAGATACATGCCAGTTGCCAAGCACCAGAATTCTGAACACATGATTTACATGGGGATGCTGGGATGCTCATAAGTGCGAGGACTGATAGTAAGCAGTGGTGGGATTCAGTCGGTTCGCACCACTTTGGCAGAACTGATAGCTAATTTTTTGTTGCCCAAGCCCAGAATGGACTTCCGGAAGCGGCATCCACACAGAGAACCAGTTGTTCACATATTTGAATCCCACCACTGATCGTAAGTCACTTTTTCTATTGCAGTTGCAACTTCGAACAGTTGCTAAGCTAAGGGTTGTTAGTCAAGGACTGTCTGTAATAGAATGGAAAATAACTTTATTTTTTTAAAAAATCGCTCCTTTGTTTCAGAATATCAAACCGTGTGAGCAGTGATGCAATGCCGATTTTGCCATTTTGGTGAAAGGAGCAAATTTCAGCCAGCTGTGAATATCAGAGCTGGTTTGAAGGTAATTAAAATTTAAGTGTAATGTTTGCAATGTATTTTTTTACTTGTCCTAAAGCTTTCCTATATTGTGGTCTAAGAACCAGAACATCTGCCTCCAACTGACACATCTCATTTCTGTAGTTTTATATGTGTTAATTATAATTAAGACTTAAGGCTGAGTCATGCACTAATTTTTGACAAGATCCTGAAGAATCAGCAGACTTGTTGAGCATTATTGGCATACAATTGTGCAATTACACAACAAACCTTTTGGATATTTTTGTTTGTATATACATACTCACAAATATACTGTATGCATCCAATTATACATTATGGGTGTGCAAATAATCCCTCATCCTATTCAAAATGTTGCTTCAAAATGAAACATTTATTTACTTTGGAAAAAGGTATTTCTACATTTACTTAAGAGTTCAACCAATAAAATGAATAATTTTGAGTCAAATTAACTTCAACTCTGCAAACATTCCCCACCTCTGCAAACTGTACATAAGAGTTTATGTGTCGATAAACAGAAAATCTGTTGCATACAAAAATCAGTTTTCCAGAATGAGGCAGATTGTAAACATAGGTAATCCTTGACTTAAAACCATTTATTAAATGACCATTTGAGGTTACAACAGTACTTAAAAAAAAGTGACTTGTGACTTTTTCACACATATGACTCTTGCAGCATCCCTGTGGTCATGTGATCAAAATTCAGACACTTCGTAACTGACATGTATTTATGAGTTGCAATGTGCCAGGGTCATGTGATCACCTTTTGTGACCTTCTGACAAGCAAAGTTAGAAAGGGAAGCCAGATTCACTTAACAACCGTGTTACTAACTTAACAACTACAATGGTTCACTTAATAACTGTATCAAGAAAGGTCCTAAAATGGGGCAAAAGGTACTTAACTGTCTGGTTTATCCATGGAAATTTTGGACTCACTTTTAGCCATAAGTCGTGGACTGCCTGTCCCCAGTCCTTATATACGTCTATGTTAGATAATTCCTACTTTGCCGCGAGAATGATCTTTGAGCTTCTTCACTTTTTTTAGTCATTATTTTGTGCTATTCTGTATTATTTTTAAGATATGGAAACCTGAATCTCCTTCGTGTGTCAAAATAGGTACATTCAGCCTGGAGAAGGTTTTTACAATCTGTCTCCTATTAAAAATTGGCTCCTTCAGGCAAAAGGCTGTCTTCACTTCAGCATAAAATAGGCCTTAATGTTTAATGCAGTTCCCTGCAAATGAACAGTCATTAGTCAGCCGCATTTTTATATAATTATTGGCAGTGGAGAGGAAACATGAATACTCTGAACTATTTCCACCCAAACAAAACAGAAGCTACTCAGAGAGGCTCCAAAGAAGTAGGTGGACTAAAGAAGTGTTGGAAAACAGCGAGGGGCAAATAACCTCTCATTCTCTTCAAACTGGGAATAGGAAGGAAATTCCAATACTCTCACCCAAGCTGTTCTTCAAAAAGCAGAAAGGAGCCAGCATCTTTTTTAAAAAAGCACTCTTGTACAGCACCCGGTATCACTTCTTTTGCAAGATGGACAGCTACATAAATTAGATAAATACTTATTGTAGGAGTTTAATTGGAAAGTAGCTTAAACTCTGGTTGCATTTTAAAATTCCTCTCCAAGTTTGAACATTAATTTTTAAACTGCTATTCTTAAGGAGAAATATTCAGCAACAATTGAGTCAAAAGCTCCTCCAGAGAAGAAAACACTGGAGAAAAATAGCTACAGGTAGTCCTTGACTTATGACCATAATGGAACCTGCCAATTATGGGCATACATTGTGACGGTCATAAAGTGGATCTTATAAGTTTTTACATGAAGAAGTCAGAAAGCAAATATTGCAGTCATTAAGCAAACACCATGGTCATTGAATGAACCTATTGTTCGCTATAGGGTGTTTTAGCTGAAAAGAGATAATAAATGTTGGTTCTAAGCAAAATGTAAATCATGGTCACATTACCATAGGATGCTGCAAATGGCCATCAATAGGCCATCAATTTGCCAAGAAACCAAAATGCGGTCACGTGACCACCATACCCCAAGGGATGGAGTTCCAAATATCCACATTTTGAAGTAGTTTTTAATCTCATAAAACATTGTTTTATGTAGAAATATCCAGTATGTCTATTGTGTTATTAAGTGCGACTTAAGGACTACATGGGTTTTGAAGTTTATAGTCAAGGTGTCCCACAGGTTTGGTTCCACCCCCAAATACCTCAGTTGCAGTCCAGGATAGGTAAAGCCAATGTTTTTAGAGCATATTTTTGTATTGTGGTAGGCTCATTAAAGGGTTAAATGAATGCTATGAACCTGTAGACTGAAAATACTATAAATTTAAACTCTTTAAACTTAAGTCCTTCTCCAAGGAAGAGCAGCTATTTCCCATTAGGCGGCTTTAAACCGCAAAATGGGTATCTTAAGCCTCTTTAAAGTCCTAATTTTTCTCTATATTCTCCCTAAGCCCCTTAACACTAAATATAGTCCAATAATATTGACTTCACTCTTGCTAGTGGTATTGCAGCAGGATTGGCCATAGCAATTGAAGTCCTTCAAGCAGAGCAGAAAATTGCTTAATGAACCACAGGCTGAACACATTCAGCTTACAGGTAGATTAAGTTACATGGAACAGAGCCATCAATCCAGTTAACTCAGGGATTGATCCTGGCTTTCCAAGATTTGGAACAAATTTCCCTTGTATTTTCAAGAATTTGCAAAGTACATGGTTTAATATTGTTCTACTTGTCTACAGTTATCTTTTATTGAGTATTCAAGAACTAAATTGACGATACAGAGGACTACCAGTAATGGCATCATCCAGTCATACTTTTATGTCCCATTGACACATTTATATAGAAGGAAAAACTATCTGAATTTAATGTAACACAATACAGACAAATATAATGTATGGGATTGTCATCCACAGGTTTTGGACAACTCGCCGCAGGACAATTGGCTGCAGAACAAGAGTTAAACTAATATTGAAGAAATGGTGGAATATAATAAAAGAAAGGATGCCAAAGGAGGGACAAAATGAAATGTGAATGACAAAAATTATAATTTTTAAATTATTTGAAATAATAAAATTGAATTGTCGAATTGTTCCACAGTGAGTTGTTGTATAATGAATTGGCCGTGGTGAGTTGGTTGTGGCAAGTTAGCAGCGGCAAATTGGTCATCTGGGTCATCCATACCTATCTTAATGAAAGTATTGATTAGTTCCTTGGGTGATACCTCTAGGCTAAAAGAATCTTGCCTAGGTAAGAAAGAAATCAAATGAGACAGAATTTCAAACAAATATGGGGTAAACATATGGGGCCCCAAGGGGGGACATCTCATTCTGGAGGTGGCTAGCAAATTAGAAGACAATTCTCTCCCCTCTAGCCTATTTGGTCTTTTTAAAATCCACTGCTGTTAATTTTAATGTTTTAACTTTTAATGCTCCATGTTTTTAATGCTTTTAACATTCTAATTGTTTTACATGTTATTTTACGATGTTCTGAGTCACTTAATAGAATAATGGGCTGCATATAAATTTAATAAATAAATATTTATCCTAAAAATAGACAACAAGCAATGTTTTCCCTGAAATTAGCCACGGCTGGTGTAGGATTGGAAGGGGGAGGGACAAAAAGCCATCACAAGTTAAGTTTAGTTAAATATGCACAATTTTGTTTATTGAAGAGATTAGGACAAAAAACATTAAACCAAATACAAGACAAAGCACCAGAGGCAGTAAAATCCCACCATGCACATCACCAACCTTTCTTCCTACGAGTTTATAAAATAAATGCTTAAAAAAAAAAAAACAGAAGAAGTCCCTCAACACAGCACCATCTTCAGAGTGTAAAAACGTTACTCTTTTATATTCTTAGATACCAAAATAGAAGCAAGGCAGGTCAGCTGCAGTTTTGTCTCTTGATAAGGAACTCTGAACCATCATCTCGGCAAGTGGGATCAAAACCTTCCCGCAGGGCAGGCGAAGAGCATTCATACGTCAAATGCCAAGTAGCTGTACGCACATGCCACAGACTATAGTTAAGCACAAAATTCAAGTAACATTTACAAACTACAGAGTCCACATGTACCTATCCAAAAAACAGGACCACTTCACAAAAACGCATACAGGCAGTAACATCAGAACAGCTGAGGTACTGGAAACACAAATATCTATGCCCAAAAAAAGATGTGTTGGTTTTCCGCTGTTTCCTCCAATGTCATATAGCAATATAAAAGCAGTAATAAAAATCATTTGCCAGTCTAAATCAACATGAAAGCTTTAACAAAGGGGTGGACCTGCAGGAGGAATGGGGGATGGGGGGGTGTTAAAATGTGTCAGTCAGGGACAGGAATACCTGAAGAGAAATACAAGTTTGTTAACTACAGCATGTAACATGTCACCCCAAGTCAACCCGTAATTGAAGTACTGGCTTAAATTCATCACAACTGTGACAGATTCATCAATAAATAAAATCTTGACAATAAAAAAGGTGCATATTACAATGTACTTTTCAGGAGACAGGTCTGTGTCCCAGCAATGTTCAGCTTATTAACAGGTGAATAAACAGAAAAATAAAAGAGCATCCTTGTTGTAAGTCAAAAATGAAAGCAAGAGAACCTAAGCCACTGCCCTACCAAGATATTCAGGGCAGAGGCAGGTGGCACATATTTCTTACTTCAGAAAGATCCACTTTCTGTGCATATTCAGGACATGTAGAGGCTTAGCCAGTTCTAAGATCAAATTTGTTTCTTTCTTGAAATAATCCAAAGGAGATCCTTCTCGCCCCACCTGGTCAACTTTATGTGTAGTGGGTCAAAGTGAAAGCCAGTATTTCAACAGTCCTTGGCAAACCAAAGAAGACAATTCTATAGTCTTTTGACTACATGGTGAAAAAGTCTGACTTCTGGCTCCCTGCAATAAAAGCTCTAACCCCAAAACAAGCCCACCAAAACCAATGGCTTGTATTCAACTGAATCTACTCTGCTTACAGAAAGCTCTTTGATCCAGTGGAAACTGCTATTGATAGACGATGGGGAGGGTCATCGCTACAGCTTTATTCTACTGTGTGTAATTTCTTGTATAATTTTCTCAGGAGTGTCTCCTCAAGTGGCAAACAGAGAGTTTCCCTCAGCAAACTCGTTTTGTCATGCAGAGAAGCCCTCACTAGATCAAAGAATCTTTTGTAGGTTCTGATCAGGAGAATATCTGAATACAACCGATTAGGAGAGAATTTTTCCCTCCAAAATAAAACATTCCAAACATCATTTCCCAAAAAATGTTAACATATCTGTCAACTTAAAACTAGGAATCCAGAGATATGTTCCAAAACCTTGTTTAGCATTCACTTCTCATATTGTCCTTTGTGTGCTTCCTACCCGTCCTCCTGAAGATGAAGCCCAGATTCAGATTCTGAAAACAGGAAACAAAGGAACAAAATAATAGCGAATTGTACCTTCCCTGAATAATGGCTGAAGTTAAATATCTAACAGTGCGATGCCAAAATGCAAGAGTTCCTATCCACTGGGAATCGTAAGTGTTTGAATGAAATGGGATCAGGAGTGGTGTACTGGTGGCTGCATCGGAAACGTTGGGTGTGCAGTGTCCTTGGCTCCATAAAAATGAGAAGCAAAGCTGCTCGGTGCTGCTGCCTTCTCCTTTTTTTTTTCCTCGCTGTCAGTCTAACTTGATAGCAACAATTCTTCCTGTCTACCCATTCACAGGCTAAATTGGTTCTTGAATGTTCCCTCTCCAGCCTTAAAAACAAAACAAAACAAAAGCTTCCTCCAAGTGGGTCCTTTTTTTGCTATCAAGCCAGGATGAGACAGAGATATAATTCTGCATTTTCAGAAAGGTCTCCCTTCAGGTTGTCCTTTCTGGACCATGCATTACCTTTATCAGTCCTGACGCTTAGTTAAAGAATGGATCAGAATCCTCTTCCATGTTAACATCAGGCACCAGCTGATCTGTTACTTCCTTAGCACCATATCCTGAATTAGACACATTAAAATCTGTGGAAAACCAAGGGTGGTCCAGAATTTCCTGCGAAGTCAGCCTCTCTGAGGGCTCTCGGCGCAGGATGCTACGTATAAGGCATTTCGCCTTGGGGGACAAAGTCTCTGGAATGCTGAACTGCCCACGGCGGATTTTACTGAAGAGAGAACTCGGTTCAATGTCATGAAATGGATAGCGTCCAACTAGCATTGTGTATAGCATGACGCCTAGACTCCACACGTCCGCTGCTTTGCCGGAGTAGCTGCCATTTGTGTTCAGGATTTCTGGGCTCACGTAGGCTGGACATCCGTGCTTGTCAGAAAGGGAGTCGTCATTTCCTCGCAATATATAAGCATCTTCAAGGCTCTCCAGTTTTACTCTTGACCTGCAGAGCAAGAAATAACAAACCAAAGAATAGACTTAGTGACAATGACTCATACGAGGTAACAAACAAAAGGCAAGAATATTCACTCAGGCTAGGATGCATATCGATATCCAGCAGGTTCCCTATCCTCTTGTTTTACCCAGAACATAAAGGAGCAGTTGCTATAACTTTGAAGAACATCCCCATTCTGGAAAAAGCATGGGTATTGGGGGATGTTCTGGGTCAGATCCGGGTTAGAAGCAGAGGACCGTATCAAGTAGCAATCTGACCAGATTTATAAATCTTGTTCATGCTTATCATTTTGTGCATTTAATACTTCACTAAGGTGTGTCATAGAAAATGTGGTGTATGTTTGATTTCCCTTGTTGTTAGGCATTTACTTAGAAAAATTATATGGCTATCTTATTTATGAACTCTGGCCAGCTATTTCCAAAAATAGATGGAAAACCTGCAAATCTAAGCCATCTCTAGCATAGACCGAAGTCCCACCCTGAATTATCCATTCAGATAAATGCACAAGGAAAGCTGACTGCTGACTGCCTACTATGAGCGCACATGAACTGGATTCTTTCCTGAAACAAATTTATTTGACCCACCACCGGCATATGGTTAAAAATGTACCTTATATTTTAATTTTAAATGTGTGTGTGTGTGTGTGTGTGTGTGTGTGTGTGTGTACACACACAGAGTAGGTATAGAAAGGGAATGCAGTCAGATTTTTCAGTCAAATCATATAGGCCAGGGTTACTCTACCTACTTAATACTGTCAGTAGTAGGGTGACAGTCAGTCATTCTGCTGGGTTGCACATAAGCTAACTCAGAGATGTCAAGCATAACATCTGACAGTTTTTGTAAGCAAAGCATGTGCTTTATAACTGAGTTAGAGCTTTCCCCCTGCTTGAGAAATCAGTAAGCAGCTCTTGGTCCCTGAGAATGATGGTCTCATAAAATCCAAGTGCATGAGCTCAATATCTGCAAAAACTGTACTACTACATTAAATCAAACCAACTTTATTACAGCTGATTTCAATCTTGAACATCAGTTCTTTGGGAATATAACCATTCCTACTAGCCTCGAGAAAATAAAATATCCCTAAAGGGTATAGAAGCTGGATAACCCTTTAGCATACACATTGACTTAAATGAAGTCACGCATCCCATTAAACATGTAGAGATGTATTATAAATCTATTTTCCCAATGGCAACTTCTGGATTGCTTATACATGTCCCTTTCATTAAATACCAATTAACCTTTAACACTGTAACCAACAATGAATTGCCTATTATTGTATGAAACAATACCAGAAACCACAACACACTATTCCCCCCCCCCTTCTCCTGAACGGATTTGTCAGAAAGAAATCAGGTAAAGGGGCTTAGAATCCTGTCAGTCCACCAGAAAGAATTGATCAGGAAAGGACCAAATTTTGCATGGTAGGAAAAATCAACAAAAAATAAAAGTGAGTTGGAAAACAGACCAGATCCATCTTGGGGCTACAGAGAAAAACTTTCCAGAAAACAAAATAACAATTTTACATACAACAGTTCATTTAATGACTGTTCAAAGTTACAACTTCACTGAAAAAAGTGACTTATGACTGTTTTCTTACATTACAACCATTGGAGCATCCCCACGGTCACATGATCAAAATTCAGATGCTTGGCATATTTATGACAGTTGCAGTGTCCAGGGGGACAAGTGATCACCTTTTGTGACCTTCTAACAAGCAAAGCCAATGGGGAAACCAGTTTCACTTAACAACCGTTTAATTTACCAACTTGCAGTGTTGCAAGAAAAGTCGTAAAATGTGGCAAAACTCACTTAACCAATGTTTCACTTAGCCACAGAAATGCTGGGCTCAATTGTGGTCTTAAGTGGAGGACTACCTATACACAGCTTGCTCTGCTCTTCACAATGTACGTACGTACACACACACACACACACACACACACACACACGGAATAGAGGAAGGGAGCAAAAAAAAAAAAAAACACAGTGAGTGAAGGGCAATGTGTTCAACTACCCAGAACAAAATTCAGATATTTCCTAAGGTGCCCACTGGTAAAAGGCCTGGAAAGAATGGCAGAAACATGCTGTGCAGTCTCTCCCTTATTGTTTTATCCTTGGTTATCTTTAAAAAGAACTTCCTGGGCATCTACATTCTTCTGATTTTATTCTCTGATATAAAATCCTGCTGAATGTAGCTCCCTCCCTCTTTTCTCAGCTCTTCCCTCTCCTCCAAGATATCTGATGCCAAACATACTGTGGGGGTTGATGAACGAGAACGTGCTCCTTTGTTACATTCCTGCCTCTTTCAACAATGCACACTGGAATAGCTACTACCTTTGAACTGGATTTGGACCAGCAAAATAAAACAGAAAAAAAAACCACAATGCAATCATCTCCTGTACTTAAGAATCAAGGACCTGCACTCAGAAGAGAGCAGATTGTTTAAAACTAGACCACTGAACAACAGCTGGCATTAATCCACTTGTTCTATTGTAATCTCCTGCAGGATCAAGCAAAGGAGCAGTAGCCATGTTCTCATCCTGCTGAATAGATGAGACCGAAGCAAATACACCAAGGATAAACATCTGTGTTACACACATGCAGTCTCCCCCCCCACACACACTCCATCCGTTATTAAAAATAATAACAAACACGTTTCCAGAAAATCAAGCAATCCTTGCATTAATTGAGGGTAATTGTTGCTAAAAAGGTACACCATGCAGATAGAACTAATAGCCACAATCCAGAGTGTTGGTTTGTTTGACCTTCTCATAATAGGTATGCAACAAGATAACATTTACCCAACTCTTGAGAAAGAGGGGGGAAAAAAAAAGGGGGGGGGGAGAATAAGATTCTTCTCCAAAAGCCAGTTAAACAGATTGGTCCTCGTCTCTCCCCATGTCCTCTACTTATGCCAAGGGGAAATGCTAACTTGAAAAGATGAAGACAGCCTCTTATCAAGCTGGATTCCTGGCAACGGCATCCATGCCTTTTCCTTAGTGGGGTTTGGCCATTGTCTTTTCTCAGGAGACGTTTTCAACTTCCCAAGTCTGGCCCAAGGCACCTGAATTCCCAGGAGATCTCCCATCCTTGCAGCCCTTGTCAGAAGGGCTTGTCAAGAAATGCAAACTCACTCCTTTCTCCAAATGATGTATGGTGTGCAAAGAACTGGAGAAGCTGTGCCAAACTTCCAGGTTAGACAAATGTCATCAAGAGTTAATACAGTTAAAATGTATAGCAGCCACCACTGCCAGTAATTGTCAAGCTTACAGTATAAGCTGAGCTGATACAACCCTTCAAGTAGCTAGTTATTGCCACCACAAATTCTCTGGACTTCCAGGAACTGCTCGTGTCTTCCTGTTCCAACTCTAGCTATGGGAATGACAGCATTAAAATTTGATAAATATGGGCTTTCACAGGAGAGAAGACCTGCCTTACAAAACTTACTATATAATGCAAAGCTTCTTCCCAAGGCCAGCGTAATTACAGTGTACCATTTCAATTCAGAAAGTGGAGACGCTTAGAAAGACAGCATTATGCATTTATCAGATCACTGATAGAGCCCTGCATTAGTATAATGCTTAAGAAAACAATCAAGCCTGAATCATTGCTATTTAAAAAGGGGAAGTGATTCTGTCTATGAATGCTTTCCCATTACTGGTGAATGAAACCACAAAAGTGCAATCAGAGGGCAGCAAATAGCACTCAAACGGGAAATGCGTCTTTGTCCCCATAGAAACCGGCAGGGAAGCCCATGAAAAACAATACTATTCTTATCAATGCCACATTCATTACTTGAGTGCATTCAGACATGGCTCTTCAGCAATAGAAGGAAACATGATCAGTTCAGCTACTTTCAGTATGAACTCCTTAGTTATTTCTGATGAGCCATTAGCACACAGCTTAAGGTATTTCCCACAATGGGTTCTTTTAAGTCTCTTCTCAGAAAAATCTGGGGATTTTAAAGAATTTCTGACTTGCAGGAAAATTCTGTGGGAAGGACTTCACGTTGTTTACATAGAAGTACCTGCAAGGATGAAGACTTGATGGGTGACAAAATATTTGACTTAGGCTCTGCTTTGTGAAAGGGGAACAACAAAAAAAGTACCTCAGAAACAGGATGTGATAGCACCATCAGTTAGAATGTTAGTGTGAATTTTGATTTATTACATCTCAGTAATATTTTAACATAATTGTTTCAAGTAGACATAGTAGAATTTTCTAGGCTCCCACTTCAATTAGTACAAGCAAAGATTTGAACTAAGGAAAGAGATCATGGGGAAAATACAGGCAATCCTCAACTTACGACCACAGTTGAGCCCAAACTTTCTGTTGCTAAGTGAGACATGTGTTAAGTGAATTTTGCCCCACTTTACAACCTTTCTTGCCACAGTGGTTAAATGAATCACTGCAGTTGTTAAGTTAGTTACACGGTTGTTAAGTGGATCTGGCTTCCCCATTGACTTTGCTTGTCAGGTGGTTATATAAAGGTGATCACATGACCCCGGGGACCCTGCCACCGTCACAAGTATGAACCAGTTGCTAAACATCTGAATTTTGATCATGTGACCACAGGGATGCTATAACGTCATTAAGTGTGAAAAACGATCGCAAGTCACTTTTTTCGGTGCCACTGTAACTCCGAAAGGTCACTAAATGAACTGTTGTAAAAGGACTACACGTAATACGAGGACCTTAAACAAGGAATAGAAAGCTTCTATGAAAATGAATCACTGTGAAGATAGGTCGCTGACTCAATGTATATTGATAACTTTCCATGGGACCGGCCATAAATTAGAAGGCCCTGGGACAATCAGCCTGGGAGGTTGTGCATGGTTCAGGACTTCTGAACCCCCTGGATTGTAAACACAGAGATAAAATTGCATAGTTAAAAGGGTGAGAAGAAAAATAATTCCCCATATTTACTGCTGCCCCCATTTTTCCAGCATAACTCTTTAAAGATTCAGGTTATATTAATGATAAAATCCTTC